GTCAGAGGGAGAAGCAGACTCCCTGCCCTGCCAAGCAGGGAGCCCGATGCGGGACTCAATCCAGAGACTCCAGGATCATGACCTGAGCTGAAGGCAGTCGCTTAACCAACTGAGCCACCCAGGCGCCCCTGGATGCCTTCATATTAATAACTACTTTTCTCATTATAGAAGTAATAGAGCTTAATTATAGACATTTTAGAAAGTACAGACTGTGAGGAAAGAGTTAACACAGCAGGTCTGGTTGCGTGCTCTTTACAGGTCTTCAAGGGACCCATGATCAACCCTTAGCAGCCCTTAGAGTGTTCTTTACTTTAGTGGCCGATGGGTTTGTTACATACACCTGGACCAATGGACCATACCATATGTACTTCTCAGGTTGCTTTGCACAAACATCAGGATCAACAATGTGCACCTGGTTTCATTGTTAGGGTTGAGTTTTGGATGCCATAGTTGGTTGCATATATACCTATACGACCAGCAGGATATACCTATTCGACTAGCCCTCCATAAAAGCCTTGAACTCTGAGACAAATCGGCTTCTCCAGCAGACATTCTACACATGTCCTCAAAGTTAATGGTGAGAGAAAGAGTATTCCTATATGACCTCAGATAAGGAGTATTTGGACCAGGAGAGACATTGGAAGTCTATGTTGAATGTCTCTGGACCCCACATGTGCATATCTTTTTCCTGCTACTTTGCTCTGTATCCTTTGCTATAATAAATCTCAGTGAGTATATAACCTGCTATTGAATCCTGTGGGTCCTTCTGGTGAATCACTGATTAACACACAGATAAATATAAATATATAAATATATATAAAAATATATGTCAAGGGGCGCCTGGGTGGCTCAGTCGTTAGGCGTCTGCCTTTGGCTCAGCTCATGATCCCAGGGTCCTGGGATCGAGCCCCGCATCGGGCTCCCTGCTCAGCGGGAAGCCTGCTTCTCCCTCTCCCACTCCCCTTGCTTGTGTTTCCTCTCTCACTGTGTCTCTCTCTGTCAAATAAATAAAATCTTAAAAAAAAAAATATGTCGGGGCGCCTGGGTGGCTCAGACGGTTAAGCGTCTGCCTTAGGCTCAGGTCATGATCCCAGGGTCCTGGGATCGAGTCCCGCATTGGGCTCCCTGCTCCTTGGGAGCCTGCTTCTCCCTCTGTTTCTCTCGCTCTTGCTCTCTCTCTCTCTGTCTCTCATGAATAAATAAATAAATAAAATGTCAATATATATAAATTAACCAAAATCCTTATACTTGGAGATAACCATTTGGCTAACTTTAAAATAAAAACAAGGGCGCCTGGGTGGCTCAGTTGGTTAAGCGACTGCCTTCGGCTCAGGTCATGATCCTGGAGTCCCGGGATCAAGTCCCGCATCGGACTTCCTGCTCAGCAGGGAGTCTGCTTCTCCCTCTGACCCTCTTCCCTCTCTTGCTATCTGTCTCTCATTCTCTCTCTCTCAAATAAATAAAATCTTTAAAAAAAAATTTAAAAAAAAAAGTTTTTAAAAAAATAAAAAATAAAATAAAATAAAATAAAAACAAGGTTTTGACCAACCAAATCATCTTGCAGAAGTCCTAAGTTGTGAGAAGGCAAACAAAACTGCTAATTAAATTGGTAAAATGGGGGTGCCTGGGTGGCTCAGTCAGTTAAGTGTCTGCTTTCAGCTCAGGTCATGATCCTGGGGTCTGGGAATCAAGCTCTGCATCAGGCTCTCTGCTCAGCTGGGAGCTTACTTCTCCCTCTCTCTCTGCCCCTCCTCCAGCTTGTGCTCTCTCTCTCTCTCTTGCTCACTCTCTGTCTCTCAAATAAATAAAATCTTTTAAAATTATTTAAAAAAAATAATAAATTGGTAAATTGTATCATGGAGTGAAGATTAAATTTTATGGAAGAAATTTTATGTTTGGACTTAGAATAAGTGTACTGTTTTAAATGATTATCAAGATTTACTGAACTTTGCTTTTGTTACTTAATAATGGTTTCATCTATGACTTAGTCCTTAATTTGGAATCCAACTTTTAATCTTGATTGGGTTCCTATGGGAAGAGACAGGACACTTTACAAGAAATGGCTTTATAATATCAGCCAAGAACAGGTAGTGAAAAGCAGAGACTGCCTGTGCATGAGGGTCTGGGAAAACCAGGGGTGGGGCAGTGAACAAAACTAACTACCCTTCCAAGTACCCCTCATCCTGTAAGTCACCCTTCTTTGACAGTTTCCCTCTATGACCTTAATAATAATTAATAATAATTACTACTAACATTTATTTAGTACTTATTGTGAGCCAATCACTATTCTAAGCACGTTTTCTCTTAATCTTCACAACGGCCTATTCAGTAAGTGTTACTATATCCTCCTTTATACAAATGAAGATACCAAGGCTAAGTATAATTAAGGAGCTAGTTTATGAAACCAGTAAATGAGATGGTACTGGGACTTGAACCTGAACTCAGAAGGTCAACTGCTATACTTCATGTCCCCTTATATTTGTGCAAACGAGATGCCACTGATATAAATGGGTTTTGCAGTTAGATTTTGCATTAGGGTTTTCCAGGGAAACAAAACTAACAAGACACACACAGATTTATTTTCAGGAATTGGCTCACACGATTGTGGGGGCTGACAAGTCTGGAATTCGCAGAGCAGGCTGGCAAGCTAGAAATTCAGGGAAGAATTGATGTTGCAGTCTTGTATTCAAAATCTGAAGGCTGGAAACTCAGCCGGCTTTCTATTTTGCAGTCTTGAAGGAGAATTTTTTTTTTTCTTCAGGAAACCTCAGTTTTTGCTCGTAAGGATAACCACCTGCATTATGGAGGGTAAAAAAGTCTAATGATTTAAATGTTAATCACACATACAATGTAACCATCACAGTTTTTTTTTTTTTTAAGATTTTATTTATTTATTTAAGACAGAGAATGAGAGACAGAGAGCATGAGAGGGAGGAGGGTCAGAGGGAGAAGCAGACTCCCTGCCGAGCAGGGAGCCCGATGCGGGACTCGATCCCGGGACTCCAGGATCATGACCTGAGCCGAAGGCAGTCGCTTAACCAACTGAGCCACCCAGGCGCCCACCATCACAGTTTTGATTTTTCTCTTTTGAAGAAGAAAGGGAAGGTGGATCCCCAAATGTGAGTTGCTCAAGACTAACCCCAAGATGAGCCAGGTCCCTCCCAAGCACCAGTCCCATGAGTTGACAATCCCCTTAGCCACAGCCATGCGAGTGTGGCATTGGCCAGAAGAGGGCACTGCCTTCTACTTGTGTAACCATCTGCAAGGGATGGAAAAAATGTTGACACTACTTTCAAATAATAATAATTTTTTACAGCCCCTGATGTAGCTTACTTAGCACAGTCTTTGGTAGAATGAATGCCTGTAAGCTTTTAGTTGTACTGTGAGACCAAAGCACCTCACTGACAATACTCACACTTTACGTTCAATAATGCAGGAAGACATGGAAGGAGTGTGTCCTTTGGCTTTCCTGGTGCATTATAATTGGCCCAGTCAGGCAGAACCAAACCAGTTTTTCCCAGAGTAGGCCAACTCAGGCTGATGCAGGGGGAAGGAAAAAGCTGGGGCATTTGGCGCCTGAGAGAAAGAAGGAGGAGGACCCCTGGGGCTCTAGGCCGATGAGGAATCTTCTAGCAAGGTACAGAGGATGGGTTTGGGAAGCTACTTCCTGTGTCTGGGTTTGAGAGAATAATACCACAAACCCCTTTGGTGATACAACTCTGTCCAGCGGAGCAGTTAATCTAATCTCTGGATTCTTAATTGGGATTGGAAATCCACATAAGTATAGTTATTCTTTAATTCTCATTAATAATTAAAAATCTCCCTTCCCTGCTTCCATTTTAATGACAGCTTCCATTTGTGCAGCTTGAAATTTTGCAGAGGGCTTTTTCGTCCCACAGCAAATACTAGAGCAGGTACTAATTATTTCCTATTTACAGATGAGGAAACACAGACGGTAAGTGCTTTGTTCTGGCTCCGCTGTCGTCCAAGCCTGGGAGGAGACCAGGAACCTGGGGCCTGATCTTAGCTGTGTGCTTTGTCCCCTATCAAAAATACATTCCGAACTCTCATTTACTGCTACTTCCAGGGTCCATTACAGCTGAATGCCTGCAAACACTGTGAGCTAGTGATTCCACTTGCAGGAATGTGGGCAACTGAAATGCATGCACATGAGCACCAATAGATAGGTGCAAAACTATTCATACCAGCATAATTTGAAATTGCCAAAACAAAAACAGCCCCAAATCCCATCAACATAGAATGGATAAAAAACTGTGGCATATTTCTATCATGGAATACCATATAGTAATGAGAATAAGTAATAAGTAATAGTAATAAGAACAAGATCTACACAAAATGTGAATAAATTTCACAAGTATATATAAAGGTCAAAACCAGGCAAAAATATAAAGTGTTGAAAGTCAGGTTTGTGGTTATACCTCAAAAGACTAGTTACTGGGGGGGGAGAGGGGAGGGGTCCTCTAACATTTTATTTTTGACCTATGTCGTGGTTACCAGGGTAACACAGGTGTGTTCACTTTGCACAAATTCACCAAGCTGTACATTTACAGTGCATGCACTTTTCTGTATCTGTTACACTTCAAGAAAAACAATTTTAAAATCCAGATTTGTCTAAATAAATCACTTTTCCATGAGCAAACTTTAGTACTGCCCAAATTTAGCTTATCCCTGATTACAGCAGATTGTTGCTCTGCTCTAACAGTGACCACCACATCACCATTCCCCAAAGGGTTTCTGAAGCCCTGCGAGAGCAGGTGCACAGCTGCCTTTGCATTTTGTGCATGCAAGAATGCATTTCAGGAGGGCCACCACCCAGGAAGCTCATCCCCTGCCTCCAAGACTAGGAACATGTTTTCTTTCTGCATGTCCAAAAAGTAGGAAAGAAGGAAACATCCAAGCAGGATAAGCCAAACACAGAAAACATCCCACCCAAATGGAAAAGCACCCTTGCCTGTCCCTTTTTTTATTTTATTTTATTTTTTTTTGTGGAATGCTTCACAAATTTGCATGTCATCCTTGGGCAAGGGCCATGCTAATCTTCTCTGTATCAGTCCAATTTTTTTAGTATATGTGCTGCCAAAACAAGCCTGCCTGTACCCCCCTCCCTTTTTTTATTTTTAGATTTATTTGACAGAGAGAGAGAGAGCACAAGCAGGGGGAGCAGCAGAGCAGAGGGAGAAGCAGGCTCCCTGCTGAGCAGGGAGCCCGACGCAGGGGCTCGGTCCCAGGACCCTGGCATCACGACCTGAGACGAAGGCAGTCGCCCAGCCAACTGAGCCACCCAGGCGCCCTGCCTGTCCCTTTTTTTTTTTTTTTTAAAGATTTTACTTATTTATTTGACAGAGAGAGAGAGAGAGCACAAGCAGGGGGAGTGGCAGGCAGAGGCAGAGGGAGAAGCAGGCTCCCCGCTGAGCAGGGAGCCCGATGTGGGACTCGATTCCAGGACCCTGGGATCATGACCTGAGCCGAAGGCAGACGCTTAACCAACTGAGCCACCGAGGTGCCCTAACACAGGTACTATTTTGCAGGAAAAACAAGAAACCTAACCCCTATATCCCAGAGGTGCAGATGGCGCCTCTAAACAAGAGGGCATGGGCAGCAAACCAGCGCTGCTCAAAATTCCATGGCAGGCCCTGGTGGAGTCATAAATGGAACCAGATTTCCTGTTTCCCAGGGCACTGTCTGCTTCTCATTAGCCTTTACTGCTTCTTGCAGGACCATGGTGCTCGAAAATCTTAAAGGACAAAAGTACAACAACGTATTAGCCTGCTTAAGATTTTCTCTTCCTCTGTCCCAACCCCCACCACACTCTCCGTCTCTCTCTAAAATAAATAAATAAATAAATAAATAAATAAATAAATAAATAAATAAATAAATAAATAAAAATTTAAAAATAAAAAAGCAATTTAAAAAACCACGACTATGGGGATACGGTATGGAGGAGGCACGTTTGATGGTGGTGGTCAGCACGGCCAGAGGTTTCTGTGACTCAGGCCTCAGGGCAGGGAAGTAGACTCTCTGAGAGTTGGGGGAGAGGCTCCAAGCTCCTGATGATGCAGAACGGTTCCTTTTTTTCCCCTGTTCTCCCTCTTTGGGGCTATGTTCTCTTGGTTCTCATTGGGTCACTTCCAACCCTAGGCAGCCAGAGGAGACAGGCCCCTCCCTAGGAAGAGCCAGGGAGGATGACTTGAGCCTACTTGGCCTAGGCCTTAGAAAGAAACCTCCTCCTTACCTTGGTGCCCATTTCCTTGGGGCACTTTTCCTGGGCCTTTGTATCAGAGCAAAGGGTCTCCAGAGGCTGAGGAAAAGGGGCCACAGCACCTGGCAACTTTTAGTCCAGCCTACTCTTGCTCTCCACCCAGACTCCACCTTAGAATTGCCTGGGGAGCTTTGAAAAAATATAAGCCTCAAATATAGATATATACATTGAAATAGAGAATAAATGTTTTGTTATGTTAGCAAATGACTGATGTTGGATAAAATAGAAATTTTCATCCATTTTGGAAGGAGTGTGAATTGGTTAAGAGCCTTTAGAAAAGCAGTTAGACAGTATGAAGAGTCTAAAATACTTTCATATTATTTTGTCCAGTAATAAAACTTCTGGAAATTTCTCCTGGTGAAAAGCAAGATGCCTCAAATAAGGAAAATTTATGTGAAGAATTCTCTCATTATGTCTCCTTTTGTAATAGCTAAAAATCAGAAACAAACTAAATGTTCAACAAATGGCAGGTGAATGGTTAAATAGGTGTACTCTGTGGAACATTTTGCAACAATTAAAATTGTAATGAAAATTTGTAATAAGTTGAAGTGTACTAATGATGAACTTGTAACATTTCTTTGGACAAAAGTACTTTTGTACTTACACAAAAGTTCATTCCAGAAGAAAGAATAAACACATTCAGGCCTCATCCCAATCTAATTAAATCAAAAGCTCAAGGGGTGGGGACTGCACATGAAAATGTGTTTGTTTCCCCAGATGATTCTAATTGAAGTCAAGGTTGAGAGAGCACCTCTTGTCATGTGACAAGGAGCAGGCGCTGAGATGGGAGGAAAACAGAAAAATGCACAAACTTGTCACCTCCCTCAGCCTTGCTGAGGGTGGGGGGATCCAAGCACACAAAGGCAGAACAAGCAACTGCTTATTAATCCACTGATATAATCAAGGGCCAACATGAAGAGTGGAGCTAAGAGCCTTCGTGTCAAAGAGTCTTTTCAGAAGCTTTCATGACTGAACCACACTACCCCTTTTCATTAGGGAGCCTAGAAAAGAAGCTATTATAACCGCACTGTTTTCTAAATATTAACATGGGTGTGACTTCCTGGTTCTGAGACCTCACCTTAGTTTCTACCCTACACTCTATAGATCTGGCTAGGCTGGGCACTACTGAAAGGGAGTTATTCATTAAGCATTGACAGGATGCATAGGGACCCACACACCTTCTCTGCCTGTGCCCCCCACTCTGGCCATTTGCCACATCTTGGTGGTGGGCTGAGTGGTTTCACATGTACTAAACGCCCACAAGATACATGGTTTCTGTTTATCATAATCATGCTCACAAGGTACCCTTGTGAGAAAAGCCTCACCAGCTTCTGGCTCCCGATGTCACACGGGAAGATTGTGACAGACATACAAGTGGGGTAAGAAAGCAAGATTTAGAAACAGAAGAACAGGGGCGCCTAGGTAGCTCAGTCAGTTAAGCATCCAACTCTTGATTTTGACTCAGGGTTGTGAGATCGAGCCCCGTGGTGGGATCCATGCTGGGCATGGAGCCTGTTTAAGATTCTCTCTCTTTCTCAAAATAAATATATAAGAAGAAAGAAAGAAAGGAAGGAAGGAAGGAAGGAAGGAAGGAAGGAAGAAAAGAAAGAAAGAAAGAAAGAAAGAAAGAAAGAAAGAAAGAAAGAAAGAAAGAAAGAAAGAAGAAAGAAAGAAAGAAAGAAAGAAAGGAAGAAAGGAAAGAAAGAAAGGAAGAAAGAAAGGAAGAAAGAAAAGAACAGGTGTGACTCAGAATCCAGGTATCAAGCAGGATTAGACAGGGCAATATTACCAAATCTTAAGGAGCCTTTTCATGGAATTATGTCTTTTTATGAAACCATCTTTGGTAAATTTGTTATCCTGGAAGCATATTCCAGGCCAAATGTCCTTTGGGGCTAGATCAAAAGCCCAAGAAGAATGAGGAACTTACCTGGGCTAAATTAATATCTAGCCGAGAGGAGGGGCAGACTCATTGGCACCAGGGATCAGGAAAGACTGGAAGCAGAACTGGAAATCAAATCTGGAATTGCCAAGAAAGAGCAGACAAAACAAAATCTAAGGCCAGGCACTGAGGTGGCACAAGCCTTGAGGGGGAGAGCACAGAGTAGGGTCCAAGTTGAAGATGGATGTTCAGAACCAGGGGAGCCAACTGATGTTTACAGACTAAGTAAAATACTGGAACAGTGGCTGCCTCTTGCTTGGGGGGTGGGGTGTTGCTGGCTGGGAAGAAACAGGATGTGACTTTCTGAAAGATACAGAGATAAACGTTCTGTATCTTGAGAAAAAAAGTATGGGTTAGGCAGGTATATCCATTTGTCCGAAGTCATTGAATTGTAGACTTGGGATTTGTGCATTTCAATGTATGTAAGTTTTACCCCCCAAATTGTAAACAACTTGAACTTTCATTAGGTTTACTTTTAATGGTACTTTGGATTAGCAATTCTGAAACTACAATCTGTGTATTCTTAAGCTTAAGGTTAATATTTCTAAGCATTGGGGAAAGAAATTATAAATTTGGAAAAAGGTGTTTGTTGCATCGCAATTGGAGTTATTGGTATAACTATATATTATGTCATATCTATAAATATATAAATATATGTATATATATCTCCAACGTATTTCTAATATATATCTATGCCTCTATATGTATCTATTTCTTTTTTTTAAAGATTTTATTTATTTATTTGACAGAGAGAGAGAGCGTGCAAGCAGGTAGAGCGGCAGACAGAGGGACAGGGAGAAGCAGACTCCCCGCTGAGCTGGGAGCCCGACGCAGGACTCGATCCCAGGATCCTGGGATGGTGACCCGAGCCAAAGGCAGACGCGTAACCAACTGAGCCACCCAGGCGCCCCGATATGTATCTATTTCTGTTTGTATATGTAATATTACCTAATTCTGTCTGCTAAGAGGGCCCAGAAGCAGTGACATACCAGTAGGAATGAGCATATTTAGCACCCAGATCTTGGTTTCTAAATACCATTACCCACTAAAGGAACCAGGGATTCTTGAGAAATGGCTTATTCTGTGGCTGGGGGCAGGAAAAGTAGAGGATAAGTCTGGAACATCTTACTGTGCTAGAAGGAAGTGCTCAAAGAATCATGAAAATATGTTGAAAAGACTCAGGAGCCAGCTTGAGGGCGCTCCACTCAGTAATCTGGAACAATTCGAACATCCAAATAAATAATATTTGCAATGAATTATACCCCACTGATAAAATAAGAATCATATAGATTAGATAGATAGATAGATAGATAGATGATAGATAGAGGTGAAGGGAAACCTCTTCATTACAGGAGAATGCCAAAATGAGAGACCTAGAAAATCATCAATGGATGCGTAGAAGTTTCATTAAAAATAGGATAATTAAGGGTGCCTGGGTGGCTCAGTTGGTTAAGCGACTGCCTTAGGCTCAGGTCATGATCCTGGAGTCCCTGGATCGAGTCCCGCATTGGGCTCCCTGCTCAGCGGGGAGTCTGCTTCTCCCTCTGACCCTCCCCCTTCTCATGTGCTCTCTCATTCTCTCTCAAATAAATAAATCTTTAAAAAAAAAAAGGATAATTACACACACACACACAAAAAAGAAAAAACAGGATAATTGTAGGGGTGCCTGGCTGACTCAGTTGGTAGAGCATGTGACCCTTGATCTCAGGACTGTGAGTTCAAGCCCCATGTTGGGCGTGGAACCTACTTAAAAAAAATAAAATAAAATAGGATATGCAATTGCACTACTAGGTATTTACCTAAAGATTACAAAAAAAAAAACTAATTTGAGGGGCGCCTGAGTGGCTCAGTTGCTTGAGCATCCAACTCATGATTTATGCTCAGGTC